GCGAGTCCAGAAGAGGGCCATGAAAATGATCAGGGGCATGGAACACCTCTCCTGTGAAGATAGGCTGAGAGAGTTGGGGTTGTTCAGCCTGGAGAAGAGAAGGCTCTGGGGAGACCTTATAGCAGCTTTCGAGTACCTGAAGGGGGCCTAAAAGAAAGCTGGAGAGGGACTTTTTACAAGGGCATGTAGTGATAGGACAAGGGGTAATGGCTTTAAACTGAAAGAGGGTGGGTTTAGATTAGATATTAGGAAGAAATTCTTTACTGTGAGGGTGGTGAGGCACTGGAACAGGTTGCGGAGAGAAGCTGTGGATGCCCCATGCCTGGAAGTGTTCAAGGCCAGGTTGGATGGGGCTTTGAGCAACCTGGTCTAGTGGAAGGTGTCCCTGCCCATGGCAGGGGGGTTGCAACTAGATGATCTTTAAGGTCCCTTCGAACCCAAACCATTCTATGATTCTATGATTCTCACCTGTTCCTTTAGAGATCAAAATGTGTCCCTGTAATTCATAGAACAAGCATCAGTATTGGGAAGTCAGGGTGCAATATGTATGCAATGAACAAACCATAGTGTCTGCAGTATTCAGTGGTACATTAATGGTGGATGTGGTGGTGTTGGGTTAACGGTTGGACTTGTCGATCTCAAGGGTCCTTTCCAACCTAAATGATTCTGTGATTCTATGATTCTGTGTTTATGGGTGACATTGAATTACCACCTGTTTCTGGAATCCTGTCAGATACAGGACTTACGTCTAAGTTTATGCAATTTGAAATTGCTAAACAATGGAATTGAATATCCATTTTATAACTGAGAAACTATTTGCAAGAGAAAGAGCAATTGCACCTTAGCTATGTGCAGGTTCTAGTACAAGCTGGACAAAGGCACTCTGTGCAGTGTGGCTTAAATGTTAATTAGGACAACTGAAGTCGGTGTTATAAGAAAAAAAAAAAGTCACTAATTCCCTCCACTGCAACTGCACAAACAAGGATTACTTTCGCTGTCAGGCCAGTCCACTGCTACGCTAGCATCCCTGAAAGCAGCTCCTTCCAACTGTCTCAGCGAGCATGCCTTGAAAGGGTTTTGTCTGTTGAAGGTAAAAATTTCCTGTTTCTGTGCAAGTAACAGTCCACAACATTATCTGTCTAGCAGGAGAAAACTCACCACTAACTTTCCCCTTCCTTTCCTCAGAAGAGCATCAGGAAGCAGGTGCAGGCCATGGGAAAGCTCCCTCTGTGCTTCTCCATTAGTGTTCTAAAGTCCAAGGAGGTGCGCAACACAGACATGATTTGTTGATGGTGAGTGTTTAACAGATCTTACGGTCGTCTTTGTAATTTAGAAACAAGATGCATTTGTTACCTGGCTTGTTTGAGGCTGCAGGAGGTGAAGGGCCTCGGATCCAAGACTTAAAAGGGAAGGAACAGGAAAGCAGGAGGGAGGCAGCTGCCAGCTGCCACCCCACCATCCCCATGCACGGTGAATACTGACAGGCCTGTGCCAGCAGCACCAGGAATAACGAATGGGAAGTGGGGTTCCAAAACAAGAAAATTTCACAACCCCTGACACCAAGAAAACCGAAAGATTAGTCGTGTTTCCAGAGGCAGAATGTGGCAGGGTGGGAAGAGGAGTCACTGAGTCCTCCCTGAGCAGGAGCTTTAGTCTTGGCATTGCCACACCCTCCCCTCTCTGCCATTTCTTTGCAGATACCTGGAGCGGAAGCAAGAGGGAGCAGTGGTGGCCAGAAGCAGCAGTGCCATCCTCGTGACACAGCGGGGGCCCAGACACCCGGGAAAGTCCCGCCTGGCCGTCCCAGGAAGCGCCCCTACGAATGGAGCTCGCCCGTTGAGCAAGCGTCGCACTCACCGCAGCACTTCTGGTTGTTCGGTCTAGCCCACGTAAGTGACCTCTCTCACTGGTTATGAACCACGAGGAGAGAGTGCCAGGATCAGGCCTTGATGCTCTGTGGCAGCCTCTTCCAGCCTCTCACTGGTGTGCCGTAGAGGCCGCAGGCAGCGGTATTTCCTACATGGAGGGAAGTAATTGCAGAGGGCAATGAAAGCATTGCTTTTCCGTTCTGTCAGCTCCAGGTAGCTGCAGTAGCCACGCTGCATTGCACACTGTGCACCATCCACTTGGAGGGAAAAGCACACAATGTTGAAATGAGCACCTTTTGGAAGAGATGCCAAGTTTGCCTGTCTTTGGAGATGAGGCACACCGTATAAGTTGCCTGCAGCAACAGTCAAGGATGGCCTGAAGTCTTGAGGGGCAAAAGGTAGGAAATTAATAGCAGGCTTTGCTATTAAGAACACAACTTCAATGAAAAATACAAAGGAATATAAATTTTTGTTAAGAAATCACCACCCACTGTGCACAGGAAATACAAGACAGGAGGATTTCTGTCCCAGTTTTATTTATTTTTTTACAACATCTGCTTCAATGAAAGATTGAAACAGTCAAACTAAACCAGACATTATATGCTCATACCATTTACAATATTTACATAATGTACATTTTTTTTTGCTCAACAGGTAATTACTAGCAACTTGAAACAAAAGTGCAAGTGAAAAGAATCACTGGTGTAAAAAGTTAAATGTTCCTGTTGTTCATGTTGCAATGCTTGAACTAACAGAAGTAACAAGTGGGGTAAATACACTTCATAGTAGGCAAGCGTAGTTGTCACTCCAAAGTGACAGGCCCTGCTGAGCTTCATTTACACCACGCATAAGCCAGCAGGAAGCTATTACTGTATGCAGAAAATTGATGAGTGAGTTCACAAGTGATCCCTTCTTCATTTTAACACTGAACAGCAGAATTGCAGTGTTGAACTTTCTATTGTGCAAATAGATAGCAATTAATTTCAAATGCTCTGTTGTATTAAATGCTAAAATATATTTTAACTTCCTTATTATACATGCTATAAAATTACACTAAAAAGTTCAAGTTTCTGAAGTAACAATTACCTTTCTATATATAATTTTTAATTTATTTTCAAATACCCAGGATGAAGATATACCAGCTCCAGTACAGCTGTGTTTTTTCATAAGCGTCTACCAAAGTCCCGTACGTAACCAAAGCCTCATCTAGAAGCTAGTTTTCCAGGTACGCTACTTTGGTCGCCCTCTCATTTTCCCTTCCCTTCTTTTTAAAGCACCTTCCCACATGTCCCACTTCCTGGCTGTGCTACCTTTTAACCTTCCGGTGGAAGGGCTGAAATTCAGTCCCCTCCAATTAATAAGCCAAGTCGCACGGCCACTGACGGACAAGCAGCTGGCGACATTTTTCACCTCCTGGAGTGTGCAATCTGTCCAGTGCTCTGTGGAGCACTGCAATCTCCAGGTCAGACATAATTAAATTCTGTCAAATACCTGACATCAACAGGAACTACTTGAGACCTGGATTTCATTTCATAGCCATGTACAGGGGTGCTCTTCCATACACAAGCTGTACACACGCTACCATGGCCTAAGTGCAAAACAGAGTGCACAGTGGTCTCAGCTGCATGGCGTTCAACAAAAAGCAGTCTGAATTTTACAGATACAGCTTATCACCCACCCTAGTGATTTTCTCCATGGTTTTATCCTCAAGTAGCACCAACCATTTAAAATTTTCACCTTTTATATATATATACACACATACACCTTTTAATATTTTATATACATATACACACACGTGGCATCAGTACATTCACCGCAGGAGAAACTTATTTACAATTAGTTGGAAAAATTAAATTGTATCAAGTTACAGTATACCAAAACAAAATTGGCATTTGTGCTTTCTGTTTGTACAGGAGTCATTTTTGTCATTTCAAAAAAGTTTATATTTTTATTTGCATCCAGACATGTCACATGATGAAAAAAGTTAGAAAACAGCTAGGATTAAGAAGAATTACAGAGCATCAGCTTTCCTCATATGCCCCGCTAAGTCTACAGAATAGCTGCTTTCTATAAAAATTCTCCATTCAAACACCTATGTGGTTACCTAAGCTTGCTTGAGGATCTTCTTAAAATAATAATACACAGCAGACGAACCATGCATCCTGTCTTGTACCTTACACATTCATGAGATAGAAGTTTCTGCCTTCTCTGAGTAACACGTTAATAAAACAGCACTTAAACTTCACTTTTTACTCAGGACCTCAAAGTGCTTTTAAAAAGAAGGAAATACCCCCATTCTATGCGGTAGTTAAGAGGCACAAGGAATAAGGCTTGAATTACTGTCTTCAGACACTGACCAGGCCGTGGAAACCAAGGGCTTAAACTCCAGATTCCCCCCAATCTGTTTACTGGGTTACCGTTACCCATTTTCTCAGGTAATCTCTACTGTTGGATGTAGACACTTGTTTATAATCCGTAACATTAACCAAAAAAATAGCAGCTCCACAGCCCAAACAGCCCAGCTATACTTCAGTAAAGGTACTTTTCTCTTGAAAGCATGAAATAGTTTCATAAGAAAGCTTAAAAACAGAGCTAAGTTTAACCTTCATCGCGATTTAGTAAATACAGGTAGTCTGATACAGCAGGCTGTAAGTACCTCTTTGACCAGGCTAACAAGCATTTTCTGCCCAATTGTAATTTCAGCACTGGGCTACATAAAAGTGACCACCTGCCTCATCTGTTTATGCTTCAGTAACCACTGGAGACCAAAAAAGTATTGCTAAGATATGCAATATTAAATAACTCATTAAAAACTAATGGTGATTTTTTTTTTTTTTTAAATACAAAGCCTGTCAGGCTGGGTGCTGAAGGAAGACTGCTGCCGTCCACTTCAGGAACTACAATATACAGCATGTGTACTGTTACTTCGCAAGCATTTTCATTATTTTAGGAGTAAGAGATCTTCTGTGTCCTAATAGGAAGTCATAGCATTCACATTCATTTGAGGAAACATTCACCTCTTCCAGACCACAAACTACTCTTCCTTTAGCTATTATCTATGTGCACATTTGCAATGCTTTTCCACAGGCTTCTCGTAAACGGAGGTTTCTTCTAGCCCTCCGTTTTGACAAGCTACCCTCTCAGGGATGGCTGCAGGATCCCTTTTTCAACGAGGTGAGATTTCAGGGTTTTATACACGATTAGTTGTTGCTCAGGCTGAAGTATCAACAGCTGTTTCAGTAATTTGCTGGGATTTGGACCCCTATCAATGAAAAAAGAAAATTTTTCTTGTGAGCAGCAGCTCTAAAGAAACTTTTCAACAGCTTTCCATTTTCCTCTTGCTGCACAAACAATGTCTTCTCTTTTTTGGGACACAAAGTTATGAATTTCTCCCAGCCTCTCTCCTCAGGATGCATGGGTGAGCATTACTGGCAAAACATACTCCTTAGCTCAATCTGAACAGAAACTAAAAAGCATTTCTTGTATTTGCTGTCAGATGGGTATATTAAGAAGGCTTATGACAAATAAGATTCACTGATTCATCCTTAATCACTGTTATCAACATTTTTCATCAACAGATCTTTTTTAGTTTAGTATCTGTTGACAGATAAGCTGTGTACTATTGAACTGAAAGGAAAGTTGGCCAAGTCAGTAAAGAAAACCGCAAATTAAACCAAGCTTTTCTAAATAACAGCCTCATTTTTAGAAGTAGACTGTAAGTGACTAGCTAAGGTGGACCGAATATGAGGCAAAGAATCTGTTGCTGATGAGGTATCTAGTAATTATTTAGCCATATGCATTTGCAAAACTAAGGGCATGTACCCTACATGCCCTTAGTTTGAACACCTACAGCCCCTTGATCCCCCCTGCTCCAGGAACTAGAATGACTGACTGTAAGAAATCATGGGAATGACAATTTTCTTCTTGAAAGCTGGTGTGGTTCAGGGAAGATGAGCAGTATTTTTAAGAAGTTCCCTCCTCTCTTTAACTGTAGTGTTTTCATCTTAAACAGAAAATCCCAAGTCAAGCGACAGAAATACTGAAACTTACAGGAAGAACTGCAGTCTCGCAACCTACAGGCTCTTCAGGAACCACACAGGGAAAGCAGATGCTGCAGCAACCCTCCTGCCGAAAACCCCATCCTCATACCTCCCTGTAATCAGTAAATTCTAGTAGAACTTCTAAGAGGCTGCTACAAAAACTTTCTGATATTTAGGGCACACAGGTTACCTTTAATAGCAGTCACAGAAACATTAAGGCACAGCTTGAACCTGACACAAATCCTAGGCAGTGACATATGTTTTCTTAATAGTTCTGTATTTGAAATCATTGCATAAATCAGATTTAGAAACCTGCAATCTCTGCTATGCCAACAGTGCAGAACATAACTTGTATGAAGTAACTATGGTACAGCTCCTGTGCAAGCTTATAGATTCATAGAATAGTTTGGGTTGGAAGCGACCTTTAAAGGTCATCTAGTCCAACACCCCCGCCGTGGGCAGGGACATCTTCAACTAGATCAGGTTGCTCAGAGCCCCGTCCAACCTGACCTTGAATGTTTCCAGGGATGGGGCATCCACCACCTCTCTGGGCAACCTGTGCCAGCGTTTCACCACCCTCAGCGTAAAATATGTCTTCCTTACATCTAGTCTATATCTACCTCCCCTTTAGTTTAAAGCCATTCCCCCTTGTCCTGCTGCAACAGGCCCTGCTCAAAAGTTTGCCACCATCTTTTTTATAAGTCCGCTTTAGGTACTGATAGGCTGCAGTAAGGTCTCCCTGAAGCCTTCTCTTCTCTAGGCTGAACAACCCCAATTCTCTCAGCCTTTCTTCATAGGAGAGGTGTTCCACCCCTCTGATCTTTTTTGTGACCCTCCTCTGGACCCCCTCCAACAGGTCCATGTCTGTCTTATGCTGAGGGCTCCAGAGCTGGACACAGTACTCCAGGTGGGGTCTCACCAGAGCAGAGTAGAGGGGCAGAATCACCTCCCTCGACCTGCTGGCCACGCTTCTTTCGATGCAGCCCAGGATATGGTTGGCCTTCTGGGCTGCGAGCGCACATTGCTGGCTCATGTCCAGCTTTTCATCCAGCAGTACCCCCAAGTCCTTCTCGGCAGGGCTGCTCTCAATCCCTTCACCCCCAGCCTGTATTGATACAGGGGGTTGCCCCGACCCAGGTGCAGGACCTTGCCCTGGGCCTTGTTAAACCTCATGAGGATCACACAGGCCCACTTCTCCAGCTTGTCCAGGTCCCTCTGGATGGCATCCCGTCCCTCTGGCGTGTCGACCGCACCACTCAGCTTGGTGTCACCTGCAAACTTGCTGAGGGTGCACTCGATCCCACTGTCTATGTCATTGATGAAGATATTAAACAGTACTGGTCCCAATACGGACCCCTGCGGGACGCCGCTCGTCACCAATCTCCATCTGGACATTGAGCTGTTGACCACTACCCTCTGGATGCGACCATCTAACCAATTCCTCACCCGCTGGACAGTCCACCCATCAAATCCATCCCTCTCCAGTTTAGAGAGAAGGATGTTGTGGGGGGCTGTGTCAAAGGCCTTACAGAGGTCCAGATAGACGACATCTGTAGCCCTTCCTGTGTCCACTGATGTAGTCACTCCATCATCAAGCTTATCATCATCAGTCACATCATTAGTCACATCATCATCAAGCTTAAGTAGTTAATATTGTAAAAAGCCCATACCTTATGAAACTGGTGATATAGACATGAACAAAAGTGGCCATCAAGTACTGACAATCAAAGCGATCCATTATCCCACCATGCCCAGGGATTGTGTCTGCGAAATCCTTTTGGGTGTGAAGGACAGGGGCGGGGGGGGGGAAGAAAATAAAATCATGGTCAGTGATTCTGACGAAACACACTAATGACATATCACTTGACAGCAGCACATTAAGGCCGCAATTAAGCTACCATTTCATTGCACTGAGCCAAAAGTTAGAAAGAGCCTCCTTTGCTAAAGGAGTTTTTAACTGCAAAGGTGAGTCAAGGGGTGAGAAGAAAAAGGAGAGATGAAGCAACTTGTCCGCAGTATCACACAAGAGGACAGCGGTAGGTCAGGTGCAGGTTTGCCGGTACTGAGTACACTTGCATGCCTATACATACTTCATTTTGTAGCGAGCCTCTTAAGCTCATGGCTGTCATTTCTTGCTTCTGCAAAATCTAATTCTCCTCTTTAATACTTTTATTGCTTTATCCTCTACTGGTAGCTGCTGCTGAAGCACTTGTTACCAGGGAATATACATTTGCTACAAGAGAAGCAGTAACCTGAGGACTCTTTCCACTGTCTAACACTGGCTTTGCAAGTCATACTGCCCGTTCACCTGCCGGTTTTTTTGCCGTTCTTGGTAACCATAGCTAAAAACCATAATGTGTGCATACAATATAAATATATTTAACAGAATCAAAAAACCCTGTAGTGAAAAAATTATCACTACTTAAAAAAAATATATTTCTGATGCAAACAAAGCTCAATACACTACCTTTTTGTTACCCGATCTTGTCTGTAGAACAGCTTTACCAGTTGAACTACCCTCGTATATCCTTTTGTCATCCACACTCACTTGTGTACTCACTGGGTGAAAACCCTGACCTTACTCATGTGGGGCAACTGCCAGCAAGTTAAACCAGTCCTGTGCCGGTGCCACTCCAGCCCTCCAGCGCTGGGCAGGCAGAGAGTGTCTAACTCAATCTACGCGCTGCCTGCAGTAACAATTCCACAATATCCCTGTCTTCCCGACAGTCCTTTAGTCACCACCTTGGGGCTCAGAAGTATTAAAAAAAAAAAAAAAAATAAAAATCTACTTTTTAATGTTCTACTTTAAGAATAAGTGCTGCTTTTCAGAAGCATTTTTTCCCCAAAAAGTCCTTCTTCACACAGACAGTCTTTTGCTACCTGGACGTACAGGTACGACAGCACACGAGGCTGTAGCTAGCAAAGTGCCGGACAAGGTGCTCGGACTGGCATAAGAAAGAGAGTAAGTACAAGCACATGTACGGGAGTTCAGCACAAACAGAGAGGTTTATATGCTTCTGTGCAAAGCACATGCCAAAACTGGTGGACACAGGGAACAACAACAAGAAAAACAAAAAGCAACAGGATAAGAATTACAGCAGGCCTACCAAGACATAAAGAAGGTCGGGAGAAAATTTGGGGCTGCCCTCTTCCCATACTTCTGCTGCCACTTAATACCAGCCAGGGACAACACTGCCACAAGCGACAGCGCACACCTTGCAATAAACAGAGGTTAGCACATCACATCATTTGCCAACACACACTCTTGTTACAAGGCGGCACTGTATTGGCAAAGGCAGCCAAACATCTCATGCTTTGGTGAACCTGACACGTCAGCATCTGCGTACGACACAAATACTATTGGTAAAACACAGCCAGCCACAATCTGAAGGGTAAACCACTGTCGGTGCTTCTTAGGCATCTACAGATTGCCTTTCACGTCAAGTATGATATCTCACATCTTGCTTGTCTAAACCACTTCTGCAACATGACTTGGAAGAGTAATTATCAACCAAAATATGAAACCAAATTATTCTTAGAATTCCAACACTAAAGTCACATGTTGATTACACAAAGTTTTAAGAATAACACATACATATATCTGGTAAAACTAAATACTGCTGCTGATGCTAAAAAACAGCTCAAACATCATCGCACCTTAGTAGAAACACTAGGTACTACAATGAACAATTGGAAAAAAACAAACAAACAAACCCAACCCACCAATTTATCTAATTCAAAGAGAAAACCAAAACAAAACCAGCTTACAGGAGTCATTACACACCTTGATTTTGAAAGCTCTTTTAAATCCACTGGCGAAGAATCCTCCAAATGGCCCAATTAATGAGGCAAATGTTGACAGTGCAATGCTGTGCATCTGAAATGGGTACATATTCACTGTTTCCTACAAGAAAAATAATTAGCACTGTATTTCAATATGATTATAGGCATTTTAAGCTTAAATATTTTCAAATGGGGCTGTAACAGAGCAAATTTCCACGAAGCTCCAGTTTTCCTGACACAAAGTAATACTGTAAAGAAAGGAAAAGCAGACACACTGTAGAAAGCTGCTGAAAGGTCTGGTCATGTGAACAGGATGAATTATTCGGGGTTGCTAGAGCAGTCAACTTTAACAAATGATGTGGTTTTCAGCAAATCCCTTAGTTGATGATAAGGAATATAACTACTAATTCCATAACGTACAATGGGATTCGCTAGTCTTTCCCGGCTCTGCTTTTCCAGCTCCATTTCCTGTAAACAAAGGAGCTTTCCACAAATTCCTAGTATTGCTCTAGTAAGTGGCCCAATGCTCTCCACAAACTTGTCACCTTCACGCAATTCACTGTCACTTCTTTCAAGTGCTCTCACAAGATAGATATGAATTTTGCACTAGTCCGCCATACTGTAACCTTTGTGTATATACAGCAATAAAGGGAGATAGAAGGTTTACCCCCATTAATACTTTTTGGTTTGCATTTAAACAGATATTGTTCCCCTCAGCCTATTCACAGACTTGAAATTTGGTTTGATCCATTCAAGTTCTTAAAGATAAGAGAGACTTCATTGGCAACAGGTACTTGTTTTCCTTCCTGACACAGATTAGAAAAAAAAAGGGGGGGGGGTGTCGGTTGGTTGGGGTGTTTTGGGTTTGTTGGGATTTTTTGATTGGGGTTTTTTGGTTTGTTTGGGTTTTCTGGGTTTGGGGTTTTTTTGGTAACTTAGCTTTGAGCACTTTCAAGTCAATAGTACAAGCTCCAGCCTTTGAGGGAATGCCATACTGGCCTCATCCCTGAGAGCAGAGCACACCTCACCTGGCAAGTCTTGATAAACGCCATCTGTAGCTGAAAAACCCTGTACCTTGTGTTTCTGATTTGCATCACAGCTGGCCAACACCAATTAACTTCTTGATTACTTTGTACAGTTATCTTAAGTCACCTTTCTTTTAGGCTAAACTATTCAGTTGGTCAAACAGAAAAGTTTATGAGTTGGAATTAAGTCAATTTTGTTGGGAGAACTCAAGGCTCGACATCTTTTGACACCAAGCAAAGTGTCTTCCAACCGTAACATCTGGTCATATTTCTGTGAGAGAACATCAGGAACTGAGTAACAGAGGGAAAACCAAAAGCAGGCTGTTGCCCAAACAAGTAGATTCAATTTGACTTTCTGTAAAGAGTGCTAAAACTAATTCTCTCCTCAAAAGGCTTGTTAGAGCCTGGCAAAAGTACTTCAGAAGTGCACGTGGAACTACCATCTCTTTTTAGGGTTAACTGATAGCTATCTATTAGACTGGCATAGAGCTGGGCATTCCCATCTCCTTACCCTTTACCAAAATACACAATATAGCTGGACACAGTAAGATTTCTCTCTGCTCGGTCCACATTATGTTTCTGTGCAGAAAAATCCTTATTAAATTTGCAATCAACCCCACAGTCCCTGAAGCAACGGTACGTTCATTTGGTATGAAAATATCGGAGCTCCTTCTAGATGTAATCTTGCTTTTCTAAGTACCAACCGTAGCCATTAATTACTTTTAGTCTTAGGTTTGGTTGCTACAGTTTCCAGTTTGTGCTTTCTTCTTGTAACCACATCAACTTTTTACCTTCAGTGTTACCCCCAGGTAACCACAGGTAAAGCCCACTGCCTTCCCTAGTGCTGTACACTCACTCTCTCTGCTGAGCCATTGCACAGGCGAGGGGAGTGTTGCAGAACCCACTTGTTCTGCATTTATCCCAGTCACCTCCTCTTTGCCCTAAAGGAAAGATAATGACAGACTGCTTTGTTTCTATTTGGTATTCTCTTCCTGTTGGAGTGCCTCTGGAGCCTGTGGCTTCTGAAGCACTGCTTTGTATAGTAGGATAATTGACCACCCATTTCCTGACAGGTAAAGACACAACAGCTCACTTAAAAGAATTTGCAGGCTGGGTGTGAGGAAAAGGGTTGGTGACTACATTACATGGAACTATTACTGGTACTCCTTTTTCACTCAGCATGGAAGTAATGGCACTAACGCACAAGATGCTACGTGGTGAAGAAAGTACGAGTCCAATCCTAACAGCGGTTACACACTAGCTGAAAACGGAATGAACTTCTACAAGATTACTTAAGCTTGCTATTAATTTGGGCCATAATAAGCCTTTGTCCACTTTCTACAAAAATTTAAAGGTTGCTCTTCAAAAATAGGTTTGTCTGCAAAATGCTTAAGTGACATCCATTTCCAGCACAAAGAGAATACAGGCCACAAGAACACAGGCGGGTTTCCTCAGGTGGCTCCAGCAATGCATTTCAATTCTGCTTGGGTGACCACCTCCCCTGTCTGAGCAACGGAAAGGCTAACGGTATCAATTCAGTTCTTACCCTTCAAGCCTTACCAGCATTCATATACCTTTCTAAAAAGTTTTAGAAAACCATTCAAGCTGGGAAGTACGATTTCAATTTTAACCAAAGCCTTGGTTTTTTCCTTACCCATCCCAACACAGCCTGAAGCAATGGCGGCACAGAGTACTTCTTAATCTGAAAGAGCTCTGAAGGTTCACACTCTGTCACAAATCTGTTGGTTTCACTGTTATATTCCACGGGGCAGACAAAGTACTGATGTTGAGCCAAAAAATAGGAAAACTGAAAAGCAAAACAAGGACTCCTGAAACAGGCATTTGTTGTTACAGTCAAAAATCATATTGTAATGGATGGCTTTGTCATTGCAAGCTGAGGATAATGAAAATCTTTTTAATAACAAAGAGACCCAGAATGGCGTAAAATCAGCCTGTTTAAGTTGGAGAATGCCTCCACAAAGCAGACAAATGTGGACGTTCAATGCACTTAGCGATGATTTCCCAACTTGTTTTCCTTTTCATATCTCTCAGATTCATATCTACTGGATGTTTCTGCATTATGAAATCCCAAAACGTTAGCCACTCATAATTTGTTTGCAGTTCACTTCTCCATTAAAACTTGAACTATCGCTTCTACCAAGTTTGGCAGTCATAGGTTCTGCTGACCTCGGTGATAAATTACTTATCAGAACAGTTACTGTATGCTGTTATTATCTTCTATGCATACCACCAGTGTAAACTACTTCTCAGGAGAAATGTCATAAATTATGTAATACAAAAATATTACTACAAAGCATAAATAATGCTATCAATAAACTTCAATTTTAAAATAGGGATACAACTAATAGATAAAATAGTTCCAGATATAGTAACAGCAATGGCAAAAATAGTCAGTATAACCTATTCAGGATAGGTGCAAGCCTTGCCTAGCCTTTACAGCTAGTTACAAATTGGCAGAATTCTCTAGCCAAAAAGACCTCTAACTCTTAGGCTTTCAGCAGTCTGAGATGACCAGATTTGTCAGTGATTTTGCTTCAAGTAAAAACAGGAAGTTGAAAACTGAACCTATACAAGGAAAGTCCTGTGGTTACTTACAATAAATCCAAATACAACTGTGGAAAAGAAGCCTCCAATGAACCCTTCCCAGGTCTTCTTGGGAGATAGCTAGGCACAAAAGAGAGCTTGTTAGCCTCATCAGTTGCATCACTGAACCCTTTTTTACTCTATTTCTGGACCTTGTTTGTGAAAATTAAGCTCCTACTTGGTTTTTCAAAGGTATGCGTGAAATACTGAATGTCAGCAGCTGCAGCCACTGAACATGATAAACAGAGGAGTATGGCTAGCACCTGTCCCAGGCAAGGAGGGAAAGTGCCACAGTTTGGTTGGAGCCACTGGGCAGCGTGAGGGAACGGAGAGCTCCCTTCCCATCTGCTGCTGTGTCTGGAGGCTGCTGCCTGCCTCTGGCCACAGCTGACCCTGATTAAGCAGCTGACCTCCTTCAAGCAGAAGGCTTGGAAACCTGCACGAGCACGCTATGGCTCTGTTGGAGACCTCTGCTAGCAAGTGCACATGGAGATAGTGACAAAAGCCTGGGTGTTAGACAACTGCTGCTGGGGACGCTCCTCGGGAGACACTAGCTTCCTGTGCCTATACAGACTGGCAAACTAATACAGCAAATAACTGGCCTAGAAAGACCAGTGTAGCAAGCTATTTTCTTCATCAAATCCTATCACATTTTCAATGTAGGAGCAGTTTAATATCAGAACCAACTAAATACGCAAAAGTTAACATGGCAACATCATGAAAGTAATAATTCATGGCTTTCTGTGGGGTCTTGCATACTCTACCAGAATAGGAAGATTACTGCTCGAGCCCTTCTGAGTGCTACATCAATGAGACCAGATGAGGAATAGGTATACGTGACCTAGCAGCTTATTTCAAATTACAGTTTCTGTACAGTAAGCATGCAGTTAAACCTGCATATGAAATCCAAAAAGCAAGCCATTATAAATGATGATGCAATAGGCTTGAACTGTATTATACTGTAATGTCAATATTACATTCACATCAACCCCAGTTTCCACTTACAAATCTTCAGAAACAGGATAGTCAATTCGGTTTTTTAGCAAAGATGTGTATCATGCAGTACAGCAGAAAGTATTTTTTCCACAAATGTGTTTTTGAACAAGTATCAAAAATGCTATAAATTGTAAAAGCTTGTTAGTGAGGAAGTGCCTAAGTACATACCTTAATTAATGGAGTTCTGCCAAAGAAGAATCCAAAAATGTAAGCGGTAATATCATTGCAGATAACACTTGAAATTGGAACCAGAAACCTAGAGAAAGACATTAAAAGTTTCATGGAGAAAAAGAGAAGCTGCCCAAACCTAAACACAGGACAGAAACTGAAACAGCAGCATTTCTTTCTGGGAAATTTTTCTGTAGTATTTAGAAGGGATTACGTTTCATAACATGTTCACCTAGTTCCCCCATGAGCAGCATATTTAGCTATATTGGTTTTAGTCTTCAGCCAATCAAGACCATTACAGACCCATATTAGTTCAAGTTAAAATATGATTTTGGTGCCTGAGCTTAAAATGTGAACAGGCTGGCTTTTTCCTTATCAGGCTTGAAGACTGGTACCACAGTTAAGAAGAAATCAACAGATATAAAAATGTTAATGTTATTGGTAACATCAAAGCAAGCAAATTCCTTGTACAGTTTAATGATATCTAAATTTAAAAAAAAAAAGTTTTCCTTTTTTTTTCCTCGTCAGTTTGGAGCAGCCTGTGTTAGCTTTCTAAGTGTTCTCTGCATGCAAACAGCATCTGAATTTGTTACTCAAGCCTGTTAACCTCTTTTTTTCCCTTTTCAAAGCACGGATGTATTAATAAGTTAAAAGCCAGATTTTCTGACCATCTGCCAAATTGCCTAGCACCAGTGGAAATAAGAAATAGTAGGCTAGCAAGGCAATTAGGTTCAGTTTTTGGCACATGAACATGACCACTGTGAAAAGAATTTGTTTATACAAACTTTGTCAAAGGCTTTGGGTTTTCTTTCTAACTATATTGCAGAAAAGACGTGCTCAATCTCCCCAGTTGTACATATGTCAGGAAAAGAAAAAGGAGAACATGCAGTATTATGTCCTTGGAAGAACACAAATCATCTTCCATGTGCTTCTTCCTTCTTTCTCAACTTGTAATTTACCCTGTCCCTCAAGAAGTGGGGGGGTGGAAAAACACACCCTCTCTTTGAGGAGTGGTTTTAAGTAATCAAGTTTAACTGCATCATCAGAATTTAATATATTGCTGGAAATGGGGCATTAAGATGATCCAGCAATATCCAAGATGTAAACTCTTAAAATATTTTAAGTAATCTGAATTTATCTGAACAGGGAAGGTGGCAGGGAAGGTGGCCAGATTGGGGATTTCAAATTAAATGGTCCAACTTCAATAGTTCTGAGCAACCTAAAGCTCCCAAGTAATTGGAAAAGAATTGCTAGATATTAATTCATTCAGCAAAATGCTATGGGAACTATTTCACCAAGCATGCAAGCAATCCTATTCCTTGCAAGTAAATGAAGTGGTTGTTCAAAACTATCGTACTTGTGGCTGCCAATCTAGTTTAAGAGGTTTCTGCTTCCTCTCCTGTATCCTTTACCTCATCGCTCCCAATTCCTCTGACTCCCCTTCCAACTAGACACTAATGTTTCTTTAATTTGTGCTGCTTTAACTGTTCCCATGATTATTCCCTAACCAGATCTATGTAAAAGAACCAAGCTTACAATGCAATAGAGTTACAAATCAGTTTATTACTGTCCCCTTACCAGATCATGCCTTCAAAGAGATTTTGGATGACAAGATGAGATTGAGTTACAGTGATCAGCAAAGTGACATGAGTCCATGCGAACTGTTAACAATGCAACAACACAACAGTTAGTGAAAACACCGATCCATACACCTTGATAAATATTGGTGTGTCAGCTAGAGGAGCTACTTAGGAGCTCACAGGAAAGACCAGTTCTAGTGATAATGCAAGAGATGTGTGCATACAGTATATCACAAGTTAGCTGGCTTTCTGAAGCAAGTACTGAAACTTTAACAGGTTTCCCCATCACTTACCTCCACCCAGAATTTTATAATGTGCAGTTTAACATCTGATTTAATAAGACATACACCTTCAGCATGAAAGCAGCAAAGAAACATAAGCAATGTGATATTCTGTATATACATATAGCAGACATGTCAGAACTGTAACAATAAAATGGCAATGAACTACTCATGAAAGAGTCATGTTACACAGATGTGGATATCTCTCATAACAGAATACCAGTCCTCTTATGAAACATGAGAATTCTCAGGATTAGTGAAAACAAAGTGTTAATTTTTATGCGCACGATCATTTAAACAGTAATTTTCCTCAGTATTACTGCATGTACTTGGTGTTTATTCTGTAGCGCCAGTGTACAATAAAGTGGTTTCCAAACAGTTTACCAGTAAAGATGCTACAATAGATTTTATTTTCCAAAAACTTTTAAATCAAGAACTGGTAGTTTTTCCAAGAAACACCAAATTTAAGCACTCTAAATGTCTGGGCGATTTAACACTTGGAATGTCCTACTTCTTAAGTCTCCTATCACATGTGTTTTCCTATGGCATCCAGCATCTACTTCTAGTTAAGACAACTCAAGAAGGCTGAAAGGTGGTGTGCAAGAACTGACTAAAGGTTTCTGAAAATATTACCTGCTGGTTAATTAAAGCATCTCTGCAGCAAAATTTTTAGTATTTGTACAGTGATATTGGAACACCACCTAAAACCAAATGGCTACTCTCCTTGTCTGTCCAAACACCTTGTTGCCACACAGTGGATACACGGCTTCCCTCTGTTTTACTGCAATTCTTAGGTAGTCACACCTTAATGTTTTCTGGGCAGGCACCACATCATATGACTCACACCACATTTTTTCTGCCTTCTTTCCAGAATGGGGAAAAGGAAAAAAAAAATCATGGAAAATTAATATATTTACCTTGTGCCAATCTGAAGATGAGGACTTTTTTTGCAGATTAGAAGATAAAGACCACCTCTCCTAGAAAAGCTGCATCTCCCTGCCAGGCAAGTTCTCCCACAAACAGGGTAAATTTTTTTGAGCAAAATATTTTTTTACATGCTCATACAGGGCTCAGCTAAGTCCTAGTCTAGAATTAAGGATCCTCAATGGTAAAGTGCTACCTAAAGCACTGTAGAAACAGAGGGGTTAACTGCATCCCCAGCGCTTTAGGAAATCTTTAAGGTTGCACAATGCCCTGACTGCTCAAGTTCTTTAAAGACTGGAGCTGTACTGCATTAATGTTTTACTGTTATTTCTAATCATTCCTATATAGAAGCGGGGGGCAGTTCAGTGGGGTTTTTTGGGTTTGTTTTGGTTTGGTTTTGGGTGGTGGTTTGTTTTTTTGGTTTTTTTTGTTTGTTTTGGTTTGGGTTTTTTAACCTGTGATGTTACAAAATTAGTTTTGAACCTATAAGATACATATAAGAAAAAGGTTCATGCTCTTGATTAGCTACTATGCTGTTTATTAGGTGGACAAATACAAGAGATGAGAACATTGGTTTCTTTTAATAGATTAATGATCTACTGAGGCAAAGCAGAGCAGAATACCAGAACTGCTGTTAAATGTCACAGAATAAATCTTCCACATAGGGGTTAAGATCAAGTTCCCTTCATAGTACTTCAATGGGGCCTCTACAAAGTAACACTTGAGTCACAAGAACCACTTCCCATGCTATGCTGAACTATTTGGCTTCAGACCTGGGAGGGAGATGCACACCCCTTTCTCCAGGAATCTCTTTCGTACCAGCCTATTACTAGGGGAAACGTATCACATTGTATATGCACAAGGTCTCACCAATGACAGCTTGTATTGACTGAAAGGCCACATCCCATGATATAATAATAATAAGCTGCAAGGTGAACAGATACCGAACAGCCCCAACACCACTTGATTTCATGCTACTGTTGGTTTAAGCTCATTTTCCACACCCCTTTTCCAAGCTATTTTATGAACACAGGGACACGACTGTTTCTAGTGACATTCATAACAAGTGACCACAGCAAAGTGGGTAATACACACCATGTAAAACTGCAGACGATAATGTTTCTTCACTAAACTCAAAACAAACATGCAGAATCCTGTAAAACAAAGCAAGTGTAGTTTGTACCGTCTTATATTTAATTACTCTGAACTGTGGTATACCAGTAATTCTCTTCCCTTGAAGCAGCTTTTAATCCCTCTGCTGTTAGAAGCATTTGCTTGTATTCAGTTAAGTATACATGTAGAATTATTCTCATTAGAGCATAAGATTTAGTTAACATGAGTAAAGAGCATCCATTTCATTACTTACAAGGTCCCATCGTAGACATCAATTTTTAAGGGAGGACACCATCACCTTTAAAAGCCACTCAAAAACCAGGTCGACAAGCTGGTTTTGAATAATTAACAGAAATAATTGAAAGGAAAAGACCAGCTTGCCCCTTTCCCCCAGACAGGCATACAGCTGCATGCAATGCAAGCATGAAGTGCAGGCATTGGAGAATTCAACTGACTGAAAGAAACGCTCTGGGTGGCTAACAGCATGTTGTCTCCCCTAGGGCAACTTCCTGCACCAGCAAGGGTCAGAGGCCCTCAAAAGACCCTTAACCCTGGGGACAGCCCCTCAGTGACCCCACGATCCCAATGCGACAGCCACCAAGGGGCTCTGCTATGCTCTGCCTCTTGCTTTTGCTCATGACTGGCTTGTCTCATCTCACCCCTCACCGCCCTTCAGCAGTCATGAGGCATTAGTTAAGTTAGTTTCCTCAGCCAAAGCCAGCTGAAAAAGGTCAAGTCTTGCAAAGCTGGTTTCAAGTTTGCGATCTAAGCACCGAGTAGAATTTTTATCTGGTTTAAAAAAAAAAAAAATTAACAGTAGACAGACTGACAGTTCATCATGAAGATCAGGTTTCTTAATATATTTTACAAGTATTTGTAGCATAGCAGTCTCCTGTCCCTTAGGCCAATCTGAATCTTCAATTGATTTAAGTTTAGGCTAAAGTAATTTTACCACATTGCTGAAAACGCCTTGGACTATATTTACGTGTTCACAAAGCAATGCCCCACAAGACTGCCAGCTTATGTCTCTTCTTCCTAGAGAAGAAGCTTTTAAAAAGTCTTTCTTTGGATAGGGAAGAAAATTTATCCATGAGGCAAGCATCTGAATATCTTGCAGACAAAATAAAGCCTCAGGCATTTTGAATAATCAGTTTAAAATACATTGGTAAACCGTATTGCTGTCGACCTAGCAGAACACTTGCACAATAAAGCATCAACCCAGCACAGCAATTACACATACAAGTCATCTCCACAGACTGCCAAATAGCGTTCATGTATTCAGGTACTGAGCCCCAGTTCTTCAGCGATCAAAATTAGTTCATGCCAACTTCTCTTGAGCGCTATTAGCTCAACTTTCTCAAGATCATTTACTTGTTTAGGCTGCTTTCTTCTCAGTGAACGCAAAATTTATATTCATCCTTTCACAGGAAAAATGGAACTGTGAACACCTAATTTCCTTGAACATCAAGAGGAAAAAGAAGCTGGAAGTGCATAAAGCTGGGGAGCAATTTTTTTTTTTTTTTATTTTAAAAGAAATAAGCACAGAAACAAATGCAGCACAAAGTTCTTTCATTTGTGCAATTTCGTACACTTACCTGTTAAATAGAGTGCAAAAGATATAAATCTGTGGTAACGAATTAGGAATTGAAGCTGTTCTCTTCTCTGAACAAATGTAGCGAAGTAATCAGCTACAGTCTCTCCATAAAAGAAGTAGTTCACACACAGCAAAAAGTACCTACAACATACAACAGCCAGCAGTTATTTTAACAAGATAATATATATTTAAGTGTCATTCTTAAAAACAAAACAAACAAAAAACCACAACAAAAAACACCACACAAAAGGAAAACCAGAAGGGTAGAAAAGACATATGATAAAAATAAAATTCAAACATAAATCTAGTCTTATACTTCTGGGTCAGTGTCTCCTCCGACAAGCCAATTTTTGTAATTTTCTAAAGCAACCGCATTAGAAAAACAATCACATTTTGCAGGATACGGTTGGAAAATTAATTTAATCCTTAACTACAGTATTGAATGCTCCACACCTATGCAAGTCCTTTTCAGATATTCTAAAAGCACAGAACAAGTATCTGCTATCATCGATATTGACAAAAGCAATTCTACGTATTCTTTTCCTGTATCCTAATAAGGGTAGTTTGTGATTTCTGCCTTACAAACAGGAAAAAAGGTACTTGCATAACAAGTCCTCTGAGGTTATAGGATAGTGAATCTGACATGGGGCTTGAGGATCTGAATGTAACTATACTTCTGCCATCTGGCCTGAAGATTCTTGTCTGAAGGAGTTACTGCTGCATCTCCTGCTCCACTCCACCACGCACTTTGACTTCTAGCTTTCTTGACCAAGCAATAACCTTACAGGATTACATCCATCAACTAACTAGTAAATGCAGCTATTACTACAACTTTTTCAAAACAATTTTGTGGGAGTATGTCCACACCCAAGGTTCAACTGATGTCACCTTCAGCCATCTCTTTCTGAAGAATCTTCAAAGAAATTCCTTTCAGGCAAAACAGTCAGTATGCAAGTAATTGTCACAGGTTTTCATACAAGTTCAGTTACTCAGCTTTCTAGAGTTAAGTCACAATGGGATTCTCAAATGCCAAGGCAGCACTCAATAAAAACCAATAAATAGCAAATTCAAAACCACTAAGAGATGCACCTCTCTAGGCAACATACACTTCGGCTTATTACCAAAGTCAGTCACAGAAAATAAAAACTTGTGATTCAAGACTGGATCTCCGGATAGTCTCAGAGCGATCAGTATTCATTCTCTTCCCCCCCAATAGATGTTAACACTCACTTTGCAAAGCTTCACATCTCTAAATAAGCCAAATAGTTGATGTTCAGACTACTAACAGGATTCTCTCATCTCATTGAAATGTCTTAATATTTAGTCTCAGTGGCAAGATGTTGGACTGAAAGGAACTTTGATGTTAACTAGTGTGGCAATGCAGAGGAGTTGACTTTGAGCTCCACATACGAAAGTGACGGTGGTCAACTGCCAAAGTAGACTAAGTGGTAAAGTGCATATCTCCTCCTCTAAAAATTTTGGCAAAACCGCAGAATCATTCATGTATGAGTCTGCTCTAGCTGTAGATCCAGAAGCCATGGAATAAAGCAGACAATAGATCGGTCCCCTGGATAATCCAGGAGTGACCAGAGGGGAACTAATTAGCATTTAAACA